CTGTTTCCTTGTTGTTAGTTTTTGCATGTTTTCCACATATTGAACAAGTTCTCCTAGCGTTGCCTTAAACTGCAAGTCGTCCTTACCACTTGCATCACGTGCAATCCAGTTAGTCATCGAATGACTCGTGCTGTGGAAATCTCTCTATGATAACTCGATAATTTTGTTACCCTACGTTTAACGAAAACGCTATTTGTAGCTTGCGGTGGAAATTAGTGTTCGTAACTAGTTGACTCGACCACCATTCCAAATTCTTTCCACTCAGTTGACTGCAACTTTTTGACGGAGTTGACGTGCATAACAGAAACAGCGTTCATACCTACACATTAATAACACATGTACATAAATATGACTGCATGTGTGTAAATGGAATAAGTTGACCAGAAAAGAAAACCATTTCATCGACCTGATTCCATCTGTACCGCAGGACACGCACTTCGTCGCTTTTCGCTTTAGTTTAACCCTGTAATGGAACACTGGAATACACTCGGTATCACCTCGTGACTTATCGGATGGTGATTTCCCACTTAAAACACGTTTTTGGGACACGAGGTTGCGAGGTAACCGTGAGCTTCCCTAAGTGTCGGAAAGGGGTTACACGCCAATCAATTATGTATGCCAGCGAACTGCATCTTGTAAATTGATTATTTATCGACGCAAATTCTTCGTAAACATGAGGGAATTGGTTGGGAGTGAGCTCCGTCAAGCGAAGTACTAGGTTTACGCTGGGGATCAATCCGCCAGCAAGCTACCTGTACAAGTAGGCTCGAGATCGACGAGTCGACAAGGTAGTGGCATGTCAAGAACGTCATTCAGCACCAGCCTTGAGAATCCCGTGCGAAAACTGGAATGGAAAAAAAAGGGGAGTGAAACTCCAATGACGAAAGCCACGTCACCTTCACTTTGCAATAACATCGTTTAGCCACACTAACATTGATGAAACGGAACAAATGCTAGCCGATTTCGACAGCAGTTGTGAATAAATCGGCTTCCGATTGAACTCGAGACAAGTACGTTTGCGGGAAGTCTATCCATTTCTTATACTCACACTATATGTAACAAATGTCTCTCAGTGCTGCAGTATCTTGCTCAAGAAGTTCAATGAACGAATTAGCTCTAGAACAGAAAAGGAATGAGCGACCTATTTAGGAAGGGTACAATAGCACCGAATATCCAATGAGGAAGACAAGAAATATCTCTTTCCGAGCACACCTCTTCAAGGATTTCTCATGCCTCAACATGTGTTCTAAACCTAAGCATTGTGTAAGTAAAATGAAAAGCGGACGGCATCATGGCATGGGCTATTGAAAAGTAGAAGGAGGCGGAAATCCTGACCTCTGTTGAAGACCTAAAACGCTGCAGTGTATTCCAGCAAGTCGAAAACTAGATAGGAAGGTCAGGTGATGCCAAATCATACCTTACGAGAACCGTTGACCGTTACAGACTAGGTTCCATATAATGTTAAACAAGCAAAACTCCTATGTGATAGTTAGTTCATGTAAATTCTATACGAAGAAGTTGGCTTTTCTCTATATCCTTCTTGGCAACTAATCACCGCAAATCTAGCATGTGACAATGACCTGCGAAGATGCGACTGTCTGAGCCGTTGGACGATCTACGGTAGTATGTGATAAAGGTGATCATTTTCCAGGTCTTACCAGAATTGTTTTCAGAAAATCCTGCTAGATCTCTCAGATTTCCAATGAAATGCATGCAAAATAAGACATTTGCAGCTGACCTATCCATTAAGTATGCCTTACACAATCACATTGGGTGGTCTACCAAGTCCATGAGTTTATCCCACCAGGTAAATTTAGTGGCAATTTGTGAACTCAGGAGAGCTGAAAGGTTTGACTTGTCCAAAAAACGGGTGTGCATTACAAAGCACTGCTAGCCATCGCACTAGCTTCACTGTGATAAGCTATAAAAATAACGTATGAAGGATAAAACTTCTAGGTTTGATAAATCTCGGAGCAACGCACCGTAGAATCGACTTCTCCAAGCACCATGGAGATTAACTCATTCATATATGGCCTGTAGAATGATTTTCAGTGCCCTACCGATCTATAAAGTCAGTGTTTCTATCCTCCACAATAGCTCTAGTCTGGCCACCGCTGAAGGATGGAGGTTCGGTGGCTTCGGAGCAGGGGGTCGAACCGGCGACCTATTGCAAAAATTTCCTTTCCCGTTGGGAACCTCCAGTTGTTTATAACAATCGTATATAAAGCACATCGCATAACAATCGTACAAACACAAGAGCGCGACTAGGGTAGAGTTCGTAGGCGCGCTGTAAAACATATGGGATCGATCTCCGCGCTCAAGACTCGCCAAGCCCTCCAATCCTTAGGGGTCCGCAAACTGGTACCAGACTTGTCTGAGAGGGCAGCAACACTGGCTCAGTACATCGCTAGGCCACTCCGAGTAATTTTGAAGACCACATAAGACATTCGATCACTTCCAATGATGCTAAAGAAGTCGAATCAACGACCCATCCTTCAGGGATTGATCGATGCCGACAGGTTTATCCTTTACCATTTATTATTATTATTACCCTCTCAGTGCCGCGACTAATAACACTGAGCGTTCACTCAGCTGACGCGCAGATTTCCTTAACCTCGGGGCAGAAAGAATTGCGAACTCGTAGAAAGGTGGACACGATGTCCGTCTTTCTAGCCCTGTTCATTATAAACTCGATACTCTGGTAAGCCTCCTAGGGCAGCCATCTTTTCCTGTTCAGTCCTGGAGTCGTCTCGTTCAGTGGTCGACCACAAAAATAACTGCAGCACCTGGACGACAACGACGAATGCGACGAAAAGACTCTTACTTTCCATGAAAATTTTTCTATCATACTCGACTGAAAGTCCGTCATTCCATGAGCTCTGTATGAATAGGTAAGCTTAGTATCATATGTGTGAAATTATAAGCAAGGCAAGAGCCATGTAATTGCACGTCATCGACTTTCACTCCAATATTGTCCCTTTCCACTTTTAGCACAACGATTTCTGTAATTTGGCCGGTTGGAATCACTTCGAGGAATCCCTCTGTACAAGTAATAATATCGTTGTATAATGATGAAATTCTGACTGTGAGGCTATTCTAGAGTTCCTCAGCACCTACACGCACTACTCGCTTTTGTTCGTCCCCGCTTTGTTCGGACCAAGCTCTCAATTCCACTGAAGTCCGCATATCGATACCAAACATGCTTAAGACGAGTTCTGTACGATCCCCAAAGGCAGGCGACTGCTCCATGAAGACGTGAACACGCTCTATGGGAACTATCTCAGCATGGCACCCAGCTCTCAATCGTACGGTACATACATGGCCACCCTTGGTCGGTACCTACGTCGGTTTGATGCACATGTAGACCAGTCACGTGGCCTACTGAGAATCGCTCTACGTGCTAATTCGTCACCCCAACATTGTAACACGCTTGATAGTATTTAGTACTTCTCTCGAATGTTCGCATTCACATAGAAGTGTGCAATTTGAAGAGTACTTTCTACTTAACTCTGATCGATTCCAGTGAATCGAGATTCGTCTAGGGGTTACTGAATTCTGTTTTTAGTCCACACTTGACTCCTTACAGACATGCCACATACTGGTAGCCAACGGGTTGATAATCTCTCACTGTAACGACCAATACCGAACGACACGAAACCCTCGAAAAGGGTTAAAAACAATGAATTCCATGAACTACTAGGAAACAGAATGGAACGAGTCACTAGGATCCAAACGGGGAGGGATTAGTGCGCTTTCCTTCTCTCCTCTTTTTGTCCCAAGCGGTAATGCACGTAGAAAGAACACGTCAAGGAACTAAAGAACGCGTCCCAAATGAAGCCGAAGTTGACCAGTGATTCCATAGCCATAGCATTTCATGTTCGAGCCAGTTTTACACTACCGTTAACTGTTATCGTACTAGTTTCCGAGAAAAATTAGTTGCTCACGACGAGCCCACTCTACACTGTCAGCGGCTCTCGTCGTATGCACAGCGGGCCAAAAACAATCAGCCACTGCTGAACTGCTTGTCCCCTCTGAACGACTTCAGTAACCAAGTGCCGTTCTCCTTCTATCTGGAAATCGGTGCTGGCCGTGCAACACGCCCACCGTTCCCACCGCTGTTGCCACCCCAACCAGTCCTGCCGCCCAGCGCTGACCTGGCAGCATCGGGGCCGACCGAATCGATAGCACTTACATAGCCGAGCTCAGGCGGCTACCGTAATCGTCTAACCTGCGCATCAGCCGATTTCAAAGTATATATACGCACCACTCGGGGATGCGCCGAATTCACCGGCGGACGGACGGCGCCATCGACGGAGTGCTCGTTGCTTCGTGCCCATCATTGCTCTTCTCAAGCTCTATCCAGAAATCCGTGGAGAATACCGCTTCGGGTCTGGTGTGGATCTCAGCCGGGTGCGACAAGAGTCGACTACGCCCCGGAATTCGTTAATGTAAGTGCCATGTAAACATGTCTCTTTCTCTTTACCGTTAGAGCCTTTCACTTTATGGGACTTATTCATCGAATGACATCGATTGGGAGTAGTTTCTTCTTGTTTTCATGGATATAAGGGAAGTACGTCGTAGTACTGAGGCGTCGCCTAGCAAGAATTTGAAGCAAAGTGCTCTTTAGATGAGTATGGAAAATCTACGATAACCTTTATTTTTCCGGATTAAATGAATTAACCCAAGTGGCAAAAGGTGTGGAATCAAGGTAGTCTTCTTCTCAAAGCTTGAGGTTCCCTGTGGAGTAGTCGATCCGTGAATTAATATCTCACTAAGTTATTGGTGCGAAATCAGATGTTTTCCACATTAATAGTTGGATGCATTAACATACTTTCTTATCGATTTTTCCCACGTCTAGGGCGAAAGCCTATTTTCCACCGCTTTCCAAGTCTCAGTGTTTTTCGTTTTCAGATGATTTAGAGGCTGTCATAGACCGCTGCTGAACCCTATATTATCGACTTTATACGCTGTCATTAATAAAACGTTTTCGATCTTTAACGATGAGTGATCTCAATCCCAGTAACCACGAAGAGAATCCTGGTAGGTTTCCCAGCGCTGTCTTCCTAGTTGTTATTTGTCATAGTTTTTACATATTCTTCAAGTAATATGTATTGAACTATACACCGTATGGAACGAAATTTGTTTACTTTACTTACAATTTACTAGAAGAGTTGGCATAGGTTCGGATTCTTCCCATCTAGGGCCGTCCAGTTCTGTCCCTTGTTTGTCATCCGTTGCCATTCCTTCGTCGACCGCCGGGCCCATACGACGTCGCCGATTCAGTGCTGCGAAGATTCAACCGGTAAGCTACATTGAATGATGTTGGAGTGTTTCTTATGCTTCCATCGAGAAGAATTAGAGTAACTGGAAGTTGTGAAAGAGTTCATGTTAAGATTTAGACTTGGAATATTTCGTTTTGAAACACGTAGAAGTTTCTGTTGAGCCCTTGAAAGTGTTTGTGCGTGGAGAATTCTATGAACAAAACCCAGTTTGCTTCAATAATATCGACAGAACCCCGTTGCTTTCGCGGAAAAATCGTAGGAAGTTTTCCATCTCCTATACACATGCGTTCCTTTGTTTATAAGTTAGCTCTTGGTTCGTATACTTTTGGCGCATGTAGCATAGTGGTCGGAGGCGCCCTGCAATACACATGGGCTCGATCCCTCACTCTAGGCCACCAAGCCGTCCATCCCTCCGGGTTGGGAAAATTGGTACCAGACTTCTCTGGGAGAATAGCAGCATTGGCTCCACACATCGGTAGGCCACTGCGATTCATTGTAAAAGCCGGATACTCATCCAATCACCTACAACGGTGGGTAATGAAGTCAAATGCATGGTGCATCCCTCAGTATTGATCAACCCTGAGAGCTTTATTCTTATCATTGTATTTTTTAACCACTATGAACTAACAAAGTTGCGAGTAGGAAATGAATTGAGTTTCATAGCGTTTACGCTATTGCTTCTTATCCCAAGTTTTCGAGTTTTCTCTAGCATCTCTTGCAACTTTCTTCTCAGTTTTTCTTCTTTATAACTTTACCAAGTTTTTTTTTTCTCTTTTGGGGCGAAATATCTTACTACTACCTTCTCTCTGACTTCTATTTGAGTTTCTTTGATGAACGTGCGCAAATTTTCTTATAGACAGAGGGAGAAAAGCCGTGCGATTGCAATGAAGTCATGGAGGCGTCGCTGCGGCGATCCTTAAGAACTTAAGAGCAAACGGTTGATAATTTATGTCTCCTTTTTTCAATTCGATCCACTCCATAATTTAAATCTCGTTTTGGTTTTGCTGCCTGGTTCGTTTTTACAGAGTCACAAGGGATCTGAAATTAAATTATCTGAACTAATTGATTGAACTAACTCCTATCTCGCAATGTTAACTCTTTATTTACTGCTTACTACATTTTTTCATGGCAGGGTATAATGTAGAATGCAACCACAACGATGAGGTATAAACAAAATTCGAGACCTTAGATGGTATTTGAACCCACGATTTCACTTGCCGCGAGCTCATGTGCTATCCGCCATACCAAAACGAGCCTTTGCCTTTCATCCATGTTTTCACTCTGTCAGTGCTATCAGCAATCACTTATGAATAGAAATGATCTGGAGAATAGAAATCGGTATTGAATCTATTTAAGTTTGCTGATATCTCAGCATCTTCGTGGTTATGTTTCGCATGATACGCTGCCATGAACAATTGTACTAAGCGTGAAATAAAAAGTTAACATTGTGATTTCGACTACGGCCTCAACTTAACTAAGCTCAATGCCGGTTCGTGCTCCCCAGATCAACCCGTTGACCGGTCATTGCTGATGACAGTGCTAGATAGGAAACTAGCTGAGAGAAAGGCGAAACGAAGAACCCGCATGATGTGGTGCCGAACGCGTTAGCCCACGTAAAAGGTGATGGCGAGTTCGATCTCACGTCAGACGCCTGCAGTCCGGAGTTTTGCAAATATCTCAACACCATTATGGTTGTAGTTCGTATTTATTTGAATCTTCTGTAGAACTTTTCAAGATTTCCGCTTTTATCAGGTGCTTTACATTCTCCAGCCGACCCCCGATACATGCTTATGGTTTTATGTATTTTTTTTCAAGACGCGAATCAAGAAAGTGATGCAGTCGGACGAGGAAATCGGTCGAATGGTGGCCTCTGTACCAGTTGCTATTGGAAGAGCAATGGAACACTTTGCTGAAAAATTTCTTCAGGTTTTTAAACTTCAAACTTAACATCATTTGGCCCTTTAAGCTGTTTACTTCACAGTTCTCTTGTTTAGGCTGCTGCTCATGAAACCCAGTTAAGCAGTTCTCGAACGCTTACACCTGTTCATATGTTGGTTTTCTTTTTTACTTGATTTACATTTTTCTCAAATAACTAATGTATACTATTCATTTGAAAGTTACATTATTATGGGCTTCCCACACATGGAATAGTTAATTTCTCAGTAGATATTCTAAGGTAAGAAATTTTCAATGTCAGGTATTTCGGGTTTTGCAAATGTGTCCAAATGGTCGGTCATGACTTATGGCTTAGTTAGTTACTGATGTAACGGCTATAATGTTTAAGATCATTTCATACCTAATAGCTATTTTATAACTATAACTAGTAAAGTAGCTAATAACATATATTTACTTACTTGGATACTTAGATGACCCGTCCTCACAAGTTGTGCGGGCCCTAGCAACATTTCCATTTTTCGGAATTTTGCTGTCTTTAGCCATCGTGGCTCCCTGCAGCCCCGAGGTCAGCCCAGCCAAAGGCTGCCTCAAGTCGTCACCACCATAGGCATTCGCTGCCCGTATAGATCAGAGGAATTTCGACACCATGCTGCAAGTTTGATAGCAGAACGGTGGTGTATCCTGATATCGCTATTACTATTGGTTTACCCTTAGCTGTGCTTCCTGAAGGAAGCGCCGGACTTTTAAGCTTGGGAGGCCTTGCAGAGGGATGAATCCCTCCGCTGTACATCGCAGTCCAACACCCAGGAACACCTCTCAGCCATAATGAGGAGGTAAACCTTTGGAGGAATAACCAAATAACTAAGTAGTGCATAGAATATAGTTTTTTGCGGATCATGAGTTTTATCTCTTTTCATGTGGTTTGGTATGTTGAGATTATTGAGCTTGCACTTTTACTTCCGTATTTAAGGAAATTAGCGATGATGGCAAATCGTCATTTCCATTTCTTGGCTGATATTTTTAAAGAAGTAGCTATTCCTGGCAGTACGGGGCCCGACTGTGATCCTTCACTGGCGCTTCAACAGTTATTGAACCTTCAGGTACGAGTTCTTGTATGTTGTCCACTAAGGTTTTTTTTTACACGTTCTGACACCGACATATTGTGCGGATCCCAACGTTTCTTGCACTTAATTCGTCTCCTCTTAACCAAGGTCTTTAAATTTGCGTCTGGGTTCCGCTGTTTCTTGAGGTTTGTTTTTCTTCCCTATCAATATCGTTAAGTACTAGGTGAGTAGTTTTACCCTTGAGTTGTAGGATGGCCCCGCTGAGGCGTTCTCAAATTTTTACCAGAGGGCAGACAGTCGCGAACTTTGAGGGTTGTAGGGGGCGAGCTAATCCCGGACAAGTGTGGTACAAATTTTGCCAGCTCGGTTGGACTAGGGGTAGGGCTTTGGGTGTATTGAACGGCATTACAGCCACTGTACAGCATGCCTCCCTTCTAAAGATTGTTGTTTAATGGTTTTAGAATGTTTAATGTGCAGGTTATTATTCCGAACTTAACATGTAAAATGTGATTTTCAAAACTCATTAATGCACGAAATCATTGGTCGTTAAAGATTGTCTGACTAAACATATGAGGAAGCAGATTGTCATATGAAACTGTAAAAAGAAAAAGAAAATTTAACGATTGGCATTTTTGTTGAGAAAACACAAGTTGTTATTTTTATTTTATATTTATTTGTTGTTTTTTTACTTCGTTTCTGAACACGATAACACTTCGTGTTTGCTCAAAAAGAACCTAAAGAATTAAGGTGTAGATTTTTGCAATTCTTAAAAGAGCTTAAATAAAATCTCATAGCTTTTTTTGCAGGCCACTCTTCCAACATTAGCTGCAGGACCTAGCAGTGCAAGTCCAGTTTGTAGTCCATGTACTCCTGTTTCTCCGTCGGTTGTGAGTGGCTCTTCATCACGCGGTATTTCTACCTCTCCAAATGGTACCAATTTCTCCATGACGATCCCAGCGTCTGTACCCTATACTATGCCATATTCTCCACTATTGCCGAATATTACCGTCGCTGGTCAAGTACAGCCCATGTCCATGCAATATGTGAGGAATATTTAAATTTTTAATACGGGTAAGCCGGAGAGCCGAAAATGAACGTCTAGTAATGTGAGGTGAAATTCTCAATGTTTTTTTAAAAATTTATACCGGAAAAAAAGTTATTAAAGAAGCCTAAGTGAGATCGTTTTAGTATGCATGAGTGATTACCGAAGGCTTTTTTCTTTATAAAGGGAAGCACTTCTCAGGTGCCCCTCTAGAACTCGTTCAAGCTTTGAAACTTGTTTTCATTTTTCACTTTTTCTTTTGTATTATAAGTAGGCAGTGTTGGATACATTACTTTGTGTCTGGGTGGTTGAGAAGGTGGGTGAAGTTGTAATTTCTGAAGCAACACATTTTCTTTTTCGACCATCTTATGATCTGAATACTGTCTATTTTTTTTTGATGAGCTTACACGAAGTTGTTAAATGATCTTTAATTTCGGCTAACGTTTCGACGTCTGTTTTCATCAGTGCCGATGGTCCGAGTCGGTGGTCCACAGTCGTTTCTTTCTCGATATGGCATCCTCGTTTTCCTATCGCTAGCTCATAATGGTACCGACTTCTGCAGGATGGATTGTTTGGGAAAGCAAATGGTTATCATCGTACACTCACCGTTATCGATAACAACCGCCCGCAATAAAGGGGCATCACCGAATGAGTATACCGAATGCTTCACTGAGGAAGACCCGATTCGGTATAGAAACGAAGACGCTACGTCGAGAAACGAACAGCTATGAGCTATCGACTCGGATTATCAGCTGTGATTAAGACGAAGATGCTGAGTGAGCCCAAAATAAAGATCGTTTATCAACCTCATGTAAGCTTATCAAGTAAGGAATACATATCGATTAGTCATACTGAGTTCAAAGGAAGGTTAGTTTTGAAATAGTCTGTTATATTTTTGGCAGAAATTTTTTTGATATTAGTGTGCTAGGATCATCACCTTCGACTACTGTGCACCGGCCCATTTAGTTGTGATCCTAGTGGGGTTTCGTTACCGCCAATATATCCTCATCTTATGTATCAAAGTTTTGTAATCTTTCATTTTTTCGCAATTCTTAGGGCTTCTCAGTAATTCTTGGAATGGAGGAGTTTTCGTCCGAGTAGTAAACCAAATTGGTAAAGTCTTTTCTCTTCTGCAACGTGACTGGTTTAGCTATCATCGGTGGTAAACTTGGGTACGACAACATCGTCGCCACCTGTTGCCTCGTCTACATTGACAGTTCGGAAGGCCGTAAATGGAAAGAAGGTGGATACAGCAGTAGACGGTGAAAAGCCAAAAAGAGGACGGCCTCGAAAAACTAAACGTTCAGAGAAGTGAGTTTATCGCACTATTCCTATTTTTTCTTTTTTTCACGCACATTCGCTACGTAATGTAAAATAAATTCCTGTACAGATGTCTGGATGAGGAGTTGTGTGAAGAAGTTACGAATGGTATTGAGAAGGTTAGTTGTCGCTAATGGTATGATTTTGCACATACGAACTAGATGTTTGGTTACATTTCTTTGCCGGAACACTCCTATGAGGTCTCTAAAATGTGATTGTTAAAGGAGGATCAGGATCGTGCGTTAATGCCACCACCAGCACTTCCTCTGGGACGAGCTAGACCTGTTGCGTGATCCTGTTCTTTTTCTTCCCTTCTTGTCTGATATTCAGTTTATTTCCATTGTTTCTTTACTACGAGTTCCCTGGTGAGCAATTGCTACTACGGACCGCTTCTAATCTACTTTTCATGTGGATCTGATGTACAACGTTTCACGGCGATTCGCTGCATACCACATGCTTTAATTGTATTCATTTCTTGCTCCTTTTGAAGAACGATGGACAACGAAGATTTTTTGACGTCTATTCTTACCTTCATTGTGTTGTTCTGTACTTGTTGATTAGTAGCTTAGCAACGAGTGTAGCTAAATTTAGTGTTCCTGTTTGATTACCCGCCACTTTGCACAATTTTCGAATCTCTACTTGTGTGACTAATAAACTTTTTCAAACTTTCATTGAATATACAAACCAAATAGTACACGTCATTCTGAATATGAAAGATTTTCCGTGAGATCACATTTTCAATCGATAATCTTCGAAATGGTGGGGTGCAAGAACACAAGCAAGGGTCACGTAGCTAGGAAATCACCTCAGTGGCAAGTAGTGAGTGGTTATCAGTCGAAAACAGTGTAGATGTATCGTTTCGTACTTGGAGGTACTACTCGGTTTCCGGTCTCATCGTACTCGACGCCGTCTTCGTTCTCCACGCTTTCGTCCTGCAATGGTACTTCCCAAATGTCGTGTTAATTGTTATTACTGTTACCACACCCATTATAGTACTACTTGTTCTTATATCCATTACTTTCCAGTACATTTTAACTACGTCGATTTGCAGTTTTTTTTTGCCAACAGAGGGTAACATCATTGCCACTCCATTATTACCATCATCATCATTTTTTTTACTGGCGACATTACCGTTGTTGCCCTCTTATTATTACCATTGTTACGATTTTATTACCATTTAGTAGACAATTACTGTTGCTATTGTTTACGTCACTATTACAATTATTTTTATTGTTCAGCTGTTAGTACTGGCTCCTGCCCAACTGTGGCCTGGCGCGATCTGGGAACACCTTGGTATGGGGTCCTTGGAGTTAGAGTTCGTAGAAAAACTGACGTCAAGGCGGTTACTAGGTTCAACTATTTATTCTTACAAATAACTTCGTTAAAGGCGTGTGTGGCGCACTGGTCGGAGGCGCTCTGCGATACACATAGGATTGATTCCGGTCCACTAAGCCTTCCATCCCTCCGGTGTCGGCAAATTGGTGCCAGACTTGTCTGGAAGAACAGCATTACTGCCTTGATCCGTCAGTAATCCACCGCGAGTCATTATACAGGCCTGATATGCTTCCAATCATCCTAACGATGCTAAATCAAGTCGAATGCATAGCGCATCCCTAAGAGATTGATCAACGCCAAGAACTTTATTCTTTATTATTATTTATAAATAACTTCACAATGTTAGACCGACAGGCTTGCTTCATGCAGAGATTGCCAGCCGTTGATAGACCACGTGGGTGCATCATGGGAAGCTCGATTTAGGGAATGGGCTACCTATCCCTGTTGTGCCAGATTCACCTGTGCTTTGTGTTCACAGCGCACTCTTCATTCCTACGTGAATTGGTATGCCTATAGATATGGGGATTTTCCTGCGAACAGTTTCCTGCTTGTCGATTAGACCAAAGCCGTGTTACCACGTGATTTTAAGTACATTGCCCTTGAAAGGTATGACAGCATCGGCGGCCACTATAAAACTTCTTGTGTTCGCAGAGATTCCTCGACAAGAACGGTGGAAATAGAAGCCCCATTGCTCAGGTCTTACGGACGTTATAGGTACCCTAGTGCCTCTGAATGTTCTGGAGACTACAAATCGGCATTGGACCTAATTAAGCTGAAGCTGCAGTCAGAATCACAACGCTTAACTTTTATTTATTACCTATTCCCTTTTCTCATTCTCGTTGATGGGTGATTGCTGATAGTCCTCGGTTGATGTGATGGATAGCACGTGGGACCTCAGAAAGGGTAATCGCAGGTTCGAAATTCAACTGAAGTTCTGAGTTTTGCTCATATCTCAGCCTTATTTTGTCTGATCTGTGGTTCCTCTCAGAGATTGTTCATGATTATTTCAGTTTTCACCAGGTTTATGATCAGCTAAAGCAGTCAACCTAATGACAATTTCGGTTATCACAATGACTTTTTATCTACTACCTTTTCTTTTTGCATGCCAGTGTACTATATGAAATACAACCACATGCTGATGTTAAAATATAAGCAAAATTCGAGACGGATGGGATTCGAACCCGTGAGTACAACTACCGGGGACCACGTGCTCTCCACAATACTAAAAGGGGTCTTTGCTTTGCCTTTCAGCTATGTTTTCACTCTATCGGTTCCATCAGCAATCACCTGTCAATGAAAATGATCCGGAGAGCACAAATCGGCGTTGAACGCAGTTAAGTATGTTCACATTTCAACTTCCTTGCGGTTATGTTTAACATAAAACCCTCCTGTGAAAAAAGAATAGGCAGTGGATAAAAGGTTAAGATATTATAATTTCGACTACAACTGTTGACTGGGTTCAATGCTGATTTGTCTTCCCCAGATCGTTCTCCTTGATCGATGATTTTTGATAACACCGATGAAGCAAAAACATAGCTCAGAGAAAGAAAAAGCAAGGCCCTTTGTTGGTGTAGTGAGTATCATGTGAGCCACCGATAAATGTCATTGAGGGTTCGAAGCCCACCTGAAGTCCCGGATTTTGCTTTTACCTCAGCTTTGGTAATGCTGAGCATCGTTGGCTAAACAAAGCAATGGTATCTTTCCCGATTCGAGTCTCAACTAACTTACGCCATGCAATACGAGGTATTTCGATGTAGAAGTCAGTAAAGTAACGATTGTATGTGGTCCCTTCCAGTTAAATTTTGTCAAACCAAAACCGAACAACGATTTCTTACGTCTACCCAATCGTCGTCATTCCGCTTCGGCTGTCCTGGCTGGTCATATACACGATGTCCTGTTTGCAAACATTTGTCTGCTCTTGCTGGATATGTTTGCGTGATTCTGAAAATATGTAAAGACAATCTTAACTCGAGCTTAACGTTAAGTCTCCAATGTGTTTCCTAATATCTGCTTCATGCACAGGACCTCCTCACAAATGTGATAAGTGAAGGGTAATTGAAAGTTTCAGTCGATCAACAGGTTTGATAGTACTTGTAGTTTACTCCTGAAAACTGCTTCCGTCTGTTCTAAGAGTACTACAGTATCGCTCGCGATAGAAATTCACAAGAGCCAGTTTCCCTGTTATTCTTTCATGGAACACCTTTTAGATATTTCCATGGTCTTTAAAATTCAATATGGAATATCTTCTCCACAAAGATCCGTACCATTACGAAAAATCTCGTTCTCATGAAACTACGATCGATGCTGTACTAAGGCTACAGTGTACAAAGAATAAGGTAACGGAAACTGCGATTTTGATAGAGTGTAGACGAATTTCTGAATAAGGGAGTAAAATATATCCCAGGCTGGAAATTCTCGACTAGTTCGCTTAAGAATTTGAACGCATTTAAGCCGTAGTTCGTGTACATCGGTAAAGGAAAGAATGATGATTGGTAACAACAGCATTATCGACTTCAGCAAGAGGAACTTCAAAAATCTATCTATCTATTTTTCAACAGTCATTTTCCCAGTCACTTACTGCACAATGAATGATAATGCTAATTTTTTATTTGTTGTCTACTACAATTTTTCAGGGCAGGATATGATGCGAAATACAACCATAATGATGCTGAGATAACTCAAAAGACCGACTTTCTACAAACCACGGCATAGATAGTTGATATATTTATTAATATGATCTTATAAACTGATTTTCTTGCTGATGCGAGGTTGGTACAGGTCTTCGTTGTCGTTGTCGTTGTTTTTGATGTTGCTGTTGTTGTTGGTCGATGACTGACGTTTCGGTAATTTCGCCTTCCTCAGAGCCGTGATGTTACGCGCCGGAGTCTGGATTGACCAACACCAGCAGCAACAACAACAACGAAGACCCATACCAACCTCGCATTTGCTAAATAAGATGCTGAGATATCTGCAAAACTCCGGACCACGGACCGGGTCCTTAGTTTCGCCAGCATGGTATGGTGGTGAACGCGTTAGTCCCCGGAAAGGGTAGAAACGTGTTCGTTCTCCACCGCAGACACCTGCTGTCCGGAGTTTTGCAAAAATCTCAGCATCATAATGAGTAGATTCTGCTGCAGGAATTTATGCTCAATATAGCTTTTTTCCATGAGTAAACACCTCGTGCTTTGTAACACTGGATATGCACGTTTATATGGCCATGAGAAAGGCAATTCAGATTGCATCCATTGCAACAACAGACAAAGAATTCTTTTTTAGATTGCTTGAAAACATGGGAATCGATCGATATTGATTCTGGCAACAATAATTATTCACAATATATTTAGAGCCCACTGGGATATTCGAGATCGGCTTTTACTCCCAAAATAATGATCACGTCCATTTCTTTTTTTTGCACTAAAAATCAGTTCTATATGTTTTCCGCGTCCTTTTTAGCGCATTTCCACTTCTTTGGAAGGTACTGTAGTGGATTCCATGTTATTCCAGAAAACGGGCATTAAAAGCTGTTTTCTGATTTCGATTTGGTTAAGAATAATACCCATTATAGACAAAACATGTTGAAGAAGATCAGTACATTGATTGGAAATGTCAGCAGAAACAGTGGGGGAATACGGAGGCCTGTTAGGAACGTCTTTGAGGAAATCCTCGCACTGTCCAGACAGAGAGACACATCCCATCAGCGTATCCCATACAGCAAGCACAGCTGTGAGATAGAGTTATTGAAATTACGTAGTAGAGAAGGCTACTCAGAAATACGGTGTATCGGAAGAGAGCTCACCAGAGCAGAAGGTGTGGATGAACGGAAAGCTCGTACACGATCTCTTGGGTGAAGTAAGACTTCAGTAAGACGATAGTTGGTATACGAGTGAGCACGCTACTCAGAACGATTCACAGGCACACGTAAGAAGAATGGGAAGCAACTGGCCAAGCATACAACAAGAGTTCAGGAGCGAAAACTGATACTTCAACGAAACAAGACCTACATAATGGGGACCCAAATGAAAACATAAAAGGGACGTTACAAGACTGCCAACGATACAACGACGTGATGTTTTCTCCGTGTTTTCCAGCAAGTGGTACATAGATCTTTACTTCCGCATGATTCTTGGCGCCGCACAATCTCTCCTTACCAATAATTTGGATACGCACAGAAGTTCTTGGACCTAGCCAGACGTGTTTGGTGGGTGAAATTTTGACAATCTGTAGAAGACTTCAAGAAATGACCTAAAGAACACGAATCTACTGGAGTTGGAAGGAAGTTGGACAGTAAGCTAAACAATACTACTTGGCTACCGATGCTCTAACCTGATCCGATACTGGTGTAAAGCTTTCACTTAATATTCTTCTTAAAAAAAATCATTTGTACAGCGGAGTTTTGTTAGAACTCTGGTGATAGAATGAACCATTTTATAGCGCCGTTCCTTTCTGGTTTTAGACTACTACTTTTATCTGATAATGGATGACGAAAACTTCCCATCTTCATCAATATTGTACAGTGGAACCACGTTATATTTCATTATCTAATGAACTTCACAAGTGCTGCAGCTTAACCACATTATGCGCCCACCGAGCTTTCGCAGGAGTGTTACGTATTTTTGGGACGTCTTCCGAAACCGAGCAACAATTACTTAACTTTCATTCATGCTGTGAACCCAGTCGACATCTAATAAAGAATTGTAGGCGCCGATATTTGAACTAGGATAAGCAGTTCGGTTATATTTCCTTCTTTGTACATTAGCGTGAGTAATAAAAAAAGATACTACATTGTTATATTTGAAATCCACGCTGGTCGAATAGTTGGATATTGAAGCCTGCAGCTTTTCCAAAACTCTCAAGTACAACGCTCATCTTGCCATCGTCCTCTGAATGTTTAGGTTTCCATTAGTTTTTGATCTTGCTCACCTGTTAACCATGCCACTTCTCAGTTTCCAGCGGTCTCGTAACATGGATTTCTTGTGTTCATCCATGAAAATGAACACAATGCGGTCTTGAAGCGGCTGAGCACCAATCAATCTACAAATCAGAAGAGTTAAAGAACGAAAAAAAACCCCGCGCCACTAAGATATGGCTCGAATAGGCCTCTATACCATTGTTCCATAAGTGTTTTTCGAGAGATTTATAAGCAAAAGCTTGCTGAGCGTTTTGCGGTATATTTATGACTATAACCTTTTATGCCTCCCAACGGTTTACCGCCTCATCGTGGCTGGGAGGTGTTCCTGGGTGTCGGACTACGATATTCAGCGAAGGGATTTGTCCCCCCGGCAGAGTCTCCCAAGCTGAGAAGGAGTCCGGCGTTTCCATCAGGAACCCTAGCTAAGAGCAAACCAATACCAGGATCCGCCACCGTACTGGTATCAAAGTCGCATGGTGGCAAATCTCCCTCTGATCCACGAAGGCTGCGACTGCCCGTGGTGGTGAACACCTGGGGCAGAATTTGGCCAGGCTGATCTCAGGATTCCAGGGAACCACAATGCCTTAACCAGCGAATCTCCGGAAAATGGTGATTATGCTGGGGCCGACACAACTAGCGACGATGGCCCGTTCAGGTATCAAGTATCAAGTATCATTTATGACCGTTTGTAACCAGTGCGGAACCACCATTACAACATAACTACCGTTTTACGCCTTCCTTCTCGTCAGGAATTAATGTCATCGTAGCAACATCCGGATCGATTTGTCGAATCCGATACTGAGAATCGATGGAACGAAATAATCGATCGAAAACGAGACGAACTTTAGCCTAAAGTGTTGAAGTTTTAGCATTCAATTTCAAATATGCATATCTCAGTGCATAACATACAGTTTGTTCGTTTTTTTCAATTTTTTATTTGGTATGACACATCATCACGTTTAATGTGTGGGTCTCAGCACTTGGCTTCGCCTGCTGCTTGGAAATTTCATTTTATCTTGAGCGTCGTAGAATGCTGGTGGACTCGATTTTACCTGGAGTCCTGGAATAGCCAGGCTGGGGCGTTCCCAATTGTATTGGAGGGAGTGATTTCTTGTCAGACAAGCCCGATGCCAATTTCCCGATCCCGGAAGGATGACAGGCTTGGTTGGCACGAAGCGAAATCGAGCTAGGACCATGCTCGTGATAACCGAAATGACTACTACTGTACTATCTGCCCTTAACATACGTCATTAACATAAATAAAAAGAACATTATGTAACAGATATTTTCGCAAGTCATCACAATTAAACTCTCCGCTTATAAAGCTCACACACTTTTTTGCCGTTTTTTTTCCACTAGTTGTCAAGATGATTGAAAAAATGAACTCCGTATCGCCATTCTTTCCACTCTCATAGGATCGGCTATTCGAGTCGGGCTTGATGTAGGAGGGGTAATCCGTCTAGGGTGATAAGTGCAGGTGACACACGATGCGGTTAATGATCTACTTTTTCAGTTACACAATAATACTTTACAGCCATATTTTTCTCCTCTTATTCCATTCACGAGTCTACGTTTTACGACTTCCACTTCTCTCAAGATGTACCGATACTGCCCTTATAGTTATGTGTAACTGATCTGCAAGTCGATGAATCGTTATGAATTTAATTGAACTAACGTGTTCAAACGGTGATTTCTGTTGGTCAGTTTCTCTCATCAAGGCTCTCTATTTCACCATAAAACTTTTAAGGTGAGTGTTATATAACACCTCCCAACGGTTTACCGCCTCATCGTGGCTGGGAGGTGTTCCTGGGTGTCGGACTACGATATTCAGCGGGGAGATTTGTCCCCCCGGCAGTCTCCCAAGCTGAGAAAGAGTCCGGCGTTTCCATTAGGAAGCCTAGCTAAGAGTAAACCAATACTAGGATCCACCATCGTCCTGGTATCAAAGTCGCATGGTGGCAAATCTCCCTCTGATCCACGAGGGTTGCGATTGCCCGTGGTGGTGAAGACCTGGGGCAGAATTCGGCCAGGCTGACCTCGGGATTCTCTCCGAGCCATCTCCTCGAATGTGAGCCATCTCCTCGAATGAGGCATCCTTGCTCAGTGATGCCCTTTTAGTGATTGAAGAAGACCTGACTCGACACGAAGGCGAAGCTACCACGTCGAGACGAATAACAAGCGAGGACCATCGACTCGGATCATCGGCTCTGAGGAAGACGAAGACGTCGAAACGTTAGCCGAAAATAAACATCATTATCAACCTCGCGTAAGCTCATCAAAGAAAGAATACATATTGATTAGTGATACCGAGGTTCAAGGAAAGTCGGTTTCGAAATATTACTGCTAGCTGTTTTCGCGGCTTTGAGCCGGAGCTTGTATTCATATAAGAAATGCTACGAATTTGGTTCTTTTCCATTATATTGTCCGAATGCTCCAGGTTGTAGAGATTAAAGATAAAAAAGCTCCCAGCGTTGATCATTCCCTGAGGGATGCGCCATGCATACGACTTCATTAAGCATTGTTTGGGGGTGATGGAATGCAGATATGGCCTTTGCAATGACTCGCGGTGGCCTAGCGATGCATCGAGCCAGTGGTGCTACCCTCCCAGACAAGTCTGGCAGCAATTTGCCAACACCGGAGGGATGGGGGACCATAGGCGCAGGTTGTATAGAATGTCGAGTAGAAGCAAAAGAAACAGGAAAACAAAGAGCAGAATATACACTTTTAACGCTTGCAGTCGGTTTTATCGATAACCGTGAGAAGTTAGGAACACCATAGATTTGTAAAACAGACTTTTTTTGATCGCCTTAAGTGTATATGAAATTGCTATAAAATATGATCTCCACTTGAAACGTGTTAAGAGTTAAGTCTCCCAAGAAATGAAAGCGAAATTCAAATTTCTGAGAATTGCAACCCAGACACGGCAACTGCAAACGTAAGCCCTACATCAGAGAAAACCACGATGTATGGCAGAATGAAAGGAGCTCGCAAAAGAAAGTAAAATAAAATAGACAAACTCTCACCTTGTAGCCCGAGATCCGTAGATCCCCATAGTTTCTTTGCAACTAATAAAGTCTAATATATTCTGAGACATACCAAGTTAAAAATTGAAAGCTACAATCATTTTTGCAACAAGCGTGTTGGTTTCAATGCATATTGAGCACTAGTTGCTTAAAAAGCTTCCACGGTTGAAAATATAGTCCTAATAATATTGTTAGGAGATAACGTAAAAGGTATAAGGGAAACAAATAAGTACTACAGTTACCTGGACAATAGCAAGACATAAACCGACCACAGAAAGCCCGACTAATGTGAGTGCCAAATTGAAGATAATAAAATTGGGAGTCCTAGTGACTACATCACCAAGGCCTGCAATGGAATTACTGTAGTCGTTTTTCACCTTCAGCCTTAGGCTTTTTTTTGGTCCAACCTATTCTGCTGTTATTGTTTTTGCCAGACTTTGAAGTAAGAAAAAATTCATCCTATCTTTTTGAGGATCTCCTGGCAAGCCCTAGTATCATTGTTTTCTTTAATATTTACATTTTCCTGACCTTAAGTCCACGTATCTAAGAAATTGTTTCACACCTAAAGCTTTGCCCAACTAAACTGTTACGGTAGGGAAACCTATGCTATTATACTTTATCTGTGAAGCATTTTTAACACGATTTTCAATAGATTGTGACCTTTAGTTTTCGCATCCTTGATTGATGGATGTGAAGTCTTCCAATTATATTTGGTTAACCTTGGCTTGGGCCTCGTTTTCTTCGGCTACAGAAAGACCACATGGACTGGCTGCAGCGATTTAATTTATCTAAGGACAAAAGCCAACAAAACATCAAGGAGGATTAAACTCGAAAATTTCGAATCGGCGCGTTGAAACGCTAGGAAGTTACAATGTTAGGTTCTCATTTGCTGCCTAATATTATTTTTAACGGTAGGATGTGATGTAAAATGTAACCATTGTGATGCTGAGATACTTGCAGAACTTGGAGTACAGGCCAGATCGAACCGCGATAACCTTTTGCGCGGACTCACGTGTTACTCACGGCATCACTCAGCATCGTGGTGGTTGCATCTCACATCCAGCCTTGCCTAGACAAGTAATAGTGGGCAGTAAGTAAAAAGTTAATATTGCGATTTCGACTACAGCCTCAGCTTAACCGGGTTTGATGCCGATTTGTGCTTCCCAGATCAATCCCGTTGTCGGGTGATTGCTGATGCAGTATTACGTAGAAAACTGCCTGAGACTAAGAACTTTGCTCTTAGTTCTTAACACCGATTCAGATGGTAAGATGCTCTAGAACATTCCCATTTGCTACATCGATTGAATGAGATTAGTATAACGAATCAACTAATAGGTAGATTTAGGGAACATTACCGATTGTCGTAAGTGAAGTAAAGAAGAAGTAGAACGCACTAAAGTAGGACCATTCGTACTCCCATAATCTAAAATGTTCACCGAAATTAAAGCCTATGCTATACGATGTTATAAACATATGACTTGTACAAATATCATCATTGAAGCTATTCCTTAATTCGTTGAGGACAAGAAGTGCGCGCACAGATTCGATAACTTGAAAAACACAAGGAGGATTAGATTTTCTTCAAGAGATACTTAATTTTCGCGAGACAAAAATGATGAGAGAGCCCGTGAAAAACAAGCATGATCACTGGTTCGAACCGCATCGGCAAACCAAGCTTCCCTGAAGTGCGAAGTTGGAAAATTGGTATCAAATTTGTCGGTGAAATGATTTTTCAGATGTGCAAAGGCCGCGCACTGCCTTTGTAGTGAAGACCTAGAAATTCCCAAGTAGAGATATTCCAGTATTGCAGGGAGAAAAAACTCGACAAGCACCCAATGATATCTACGAACAAGACAACATCCTGAAGTAGTAGCTGAAGTCAAACGAAAATCCTGACATCTTCATGGATGACTGATGGAAGGCAATGGACTGAATGAAAGATTCAGTGATCTGTATAAAATGTGATGTTAGTTACACAAAAAGAATGCTTCACTTCATCACGAGACAGTTATACTAGGTTGTACATATGAAATGTCCGATTTTAAATGTAAACTTTAAATACCCATAACTCTTTCATGCCAAGTTTTATTGATCGAAATAAGAACTACTAGAATTAGCACATTTTTCCAACAAGAAGCAAGTTTTTTGATTCAACTTGAATTCTTAACAGGCATTCTCAACTGTTACTTGGTCGTAGAAGATTTTTCCCGTCAGAAAGTGGTCCAAATGCTTAGAAAAGTGATAAACCGTTGGCGACAAATCTGGCGGGTAAGGCGGACGTGGTAAAGCTTCGTAGTGCACTTCATTCGGCTTTCTTAAAGTCAACTATTGAATCGTGCGGTCTTGCGTTGTCATGAAGCAATACTGGCCCCTTTCTACTGACCAATGCCGACTGTCTGACTCGAAGTTTTTAATGCATTTCTTCGATTTTTAGCACAATATTTCTCTAACGCAATCGTTTTGCCAGGTCGTAAGAATTTGTAATGAATTATACCCGCCACTGACCACCAAACAGAAACCTTTGTCCTCTTTGGATGCAGACTCGGTCCAGGCACCTGTCGCGAGTTCTCATCGGTGTCTAGCCATTGTGCACAACGGCGACGATTATCGTACAGCTCCACTTTTCATCGCACGTTATAATGCTATTCAAATCTCTATCGTTGTGAATCAGTAGCGACTTGTCAATTTTCGGATGTTGACTTTTTTGCTTCTCGTTGAGTTCGTGTGGAACCCATTTGTCTATTTTTAAACCTTATAAATGAACGGCAATTGACGTGAAACGGTCACAGCACTGACTTCAAATACTGTCGCAAGTTCTTCGACCGTTTAACGTGGATTTGATTCGACTAGAGCACGAAGTGCCTCATCGTTAACCGTAATTTCTGCCCTACCACACTCGTCGCTTGTAAGGCTCTCGTGCCCGGATTCAAACTTTCTGCACCACGACGAATGATGCGTTCGTTAACAAGGCCGTGTCCAAACGTGGCATCGCTATTCCGAGCTCCTGCCGCGGGATTATGTCCACTCTTCCACCCACGCGTACAAAAAGGGACACGAATATCACGTTGATCCGTGCTACAGTTAAAGCCTGCAAGAATATTAAAATGATGAATTTTGAGTAATAACCATTACTAGACATATTAATTTAAGAAAATGAACGGAGAATTAAAACAATAAAATCGGACATTTCATATGTTACAGCCTAATTGTTGGTGGTCGGTGTCCTCCTCGGTGACAATTATACTACTCACTGGCGACTCTACCGAATTCTGCCGGATCGAAATGGAATAAAATCTGCATAAGCAGAACCGCATCCACTCACATGTGAATCAATATAATTATTTGCATGCGAAAGGTTTAGACTAATTTGATTTTCAGTTCCGGTGGGATTGCAGTATGTAGCCTTGGACCATTTCGCTCGGCAGACCACAGATAAGGGGTATCGGTTAGAAAATACCTAGCGCAACCTGTCTATTTCATTTGGAAGAGTTTAAAAATGACTGAGTTAACTGCATGATAGATTTCATTGGTATTGCTGATTGAGTCAGATATGATTTACACAGGGAAAATTTAGACCCACCTGACAATGAAAGCTGAGAGACTAATCCATAAGAAGAAAAAAATTAGAGCCGCCTTCATCGGAACGGTATCGGTTTGCTCTTTGTCGGGCAGCACGACGTCCAACTCGCCAATTGGCTTGTTTGATTCGATCTGCAATTGCTTAATATAATCGGGTCCAAGGCTTCGGTAGCATCTGGTTTGATAGACCGGCCTGATAAGCAAAGTTTAAGTGTCCTTTATAATACATTATTCAAAGCTCATATAAATTTCGTAACCCATACGTATTCGTGTGTCAAATAATACATTGGTGCGCGAGGAAGCAGCAAAAACTTGACGATATAATACACCTTTCACGGTTAACTAGGATTTGCATGTTGCGCAGTGGTCGGAGGCGTCCTGCAATAAACATGAGATCCATCCTCACGCCGCAGGCTCACGAAGCTCTCCAACCCCACGGCAAATTGGTACCAGAGTTGCCTGGGAGGACAGCAGCACTGGCTTGATACATCCGTAGGCCACCGCGAGTCATTCTAGAGGTAAGATATGCATTCATCACCTCCAACGGTTCTTAATGAAGTCGAATGAATGGCTCATCACTCAGGGATTGAGTAACGCCGAGAACTTTGTCCTCTATCCTTTTATTACCCTTCATCGTTGCTATTTTCGGAAATCTCACACTTTGCGTTAGCAGACCTAGGAACAACTTTAGAGACCGCTGTGAATATACAGAAAGTCATTAGTTCGATTCTGCAACTTGAGCTAACCGAGCTTCCTCGAAGGTCGGCAACTTGGTACTAAACTAGCATGGAACAATAAAACACTGATTTGATATATCCATATGATTCCAAAGTCATTGTTATTGGCTAGATATACACTCAACGACTTTTACGATGCTTGACGCGCGGCGCATCCCTAAAGTGCATACCAACATTGAACGCATTGTCCTTTATTTTTATTGGCGACCACTTTAGTTCATTGTGTCCAACTTTAGATGAAATAAGTTAAATTCGTACAATAGTTGCTGCAGCTTCGGTACCAATTTCTTTGATGTAGAAGGTAAGTAACAGACCTGATGATCGGTGGTGTTCACCAAGTTGCTTGTGGTTCGATTCACATTCAACAACGGCGCCGTAGACATGCTGCGAAGAGAAAGTTCGCTCCCAACACGACGTATCCTAAAATGGTCTTCAGTGCGTTGAACTCCTTGTCTAAGAAAAATTCACTTCATTGTTTACCTCTCCCTGTGATAACGCTTTTCCACTTGTCGCTGAAGACTTCTAAAATCTCTGCTCATCGTTTTTGAGTTAATATAACGATCACAAAGTATGCGTTCGAATAACTCACTTCTGACAGAATTTTTCACTAACCCAGTTCCATCCATATTCGATCCATGTGAAGTAAAGAAAGCCCCACTCGCAGAGAATTGTGAAAACTAGCGGAATGCCGAAAAATGCGTACAGCATTGAAATGATCCTACCAGAATTCGTTCGTGGGTAGAAGTTACCATAACCTTAATGAGTTTAGGTGATCATACAGAATGTTCTTATAGTCGTTCGATTAAGGTCACTGCCAATCACTGGTTTATAAAGAAATGGATATAACCCTTGTAGAGAATCACATTGTTCATGGGCTCGGAAGTTCCGTTCCGTAGGTGAGTAATAAAATAGTGCGACCAAAGAGAGTAAACCAATAGTTTTGCGATTTTAAACGGGATTTAGATAGTTATGATATAAGAGCACTTTATTTAAAGGTGAAAGATGGAGTACAATCGAAAAATGTCGGTCATCAGATTTATTTCACTGTCAAAGACCATTCACATTTTTAGGCAACATCTCCAAATCAGGTCAACTGTGATTTTAAACGCTGATCATAAAAACGTTAAAGCGGCTGAGATAAAACATCTTTGATGTTATCTCCGAGACAATTCAGCATAAATCACATTGTCGCGATAAGACCTGCTGTTTCTTGTAAGCTACTGAACTGAGCGGAACCTAATCGGTATGTTCACCTACTTAAACATCATAATGTTTCGCAAAGTTTGCGCAAGATGCCTCGGACTGAAATTGTCTAAAAAGTACATAACTCATTGTAGCGCCTTGTAACTCACAATTCAATATTTTGCTGATATGTTCCAGAGACAGTTTTCCAAGTATTTTGGTTTTGTGCGCACTACGTTTGTTGTTGTTGGAGTTGCAATTTTGAATTCTATTTAACTACATAATTTGTTCTGAGGTATATGGGTCCCAGCGATTCTTTCATTTCTTTCGTTGCCGTTCACTCTTCATCCACGACATCCTTTGAATTTATGCATGGTTTTGACCTGATTTCATCGTGGTCATGAATGTTGTTGAGCGGTGATCCTTGCAATAAAAAGCTCCCAACTTCGTGAATCGCAGAATGACTTTCACAGACCAATCAGGAATCAGTACGCCGAAGAAATGAGAGCGTGGTTGATAGCAGAAGAGGTCGAACCATGGACGACACGATTTGGGGCCGTACATCCGACAACTGCAGTTTTGTCTGGAAGGTTTCAGTTTAGAAAAGCAGCTGCCTTTGATAATTGCACGGAATGCTTTTAGAAACAATTTGGAGAATTGAGGGTGAAAATTCCAGCAAGAAAGTCGTCGAAAATTTACAACGTTCCCTAGTCCTCTCTATTACTTCGAGGCCGTCCTTCACCTACAAAGGTAAAAAGGTTTATTGTAGTTGAACTGAAAGAAGAGGTCCGTGACTAACGTGTTTGTTCGTTCATCTCGGCTTCTAAGTTTGTGTCTTGGCAGTGAAATCAACACTACCAACCAAATAGGAAGGCTGATACTGGGCGAGAATAAAAAAATCGCATGAGGATTCTGTGAAACATACCTCGAAAGAGGAAGGGCAATAATGTTTGAGTATGATTGAGAGCAGCCAGCGCTAGCATCTATTTCTCATTCTTTGCTTTAACATGTGCACTAGGATAGACTGGTACCTAGAGTAATTCTTAAAGGGGATGAACGAATAGGAAAACATCGTCAAAGTGAATCATTATTTCTTTCATAAATCGTTTCTGTCGCATAAAACATGATGGATTTCAGCAGCTTATAAATTAGTTTGTGCCCAGTAATGGTGCTTCGACCACATCAAGACATATTGGAGAAAACAGTACCAATAGTGGTGTACAAGCTGGCAGCGTAATAAACACCACCCCAGAGTGTCCATTTGCTGTCAATCATCGTCGGCTCCTGGACGATAACACCCAGTTTCCGCTCGTACCTTAAACTGTTTGGGTTGATTAGTCGAAACATGGCAAAGAAAGTTGGTGACAATATCCATAAAGTTATTCTACTCCTATAAACTATTATTGATGAGCCGATGCAAAGTTGTTTACATGTCCTTATACTAGTTCCCCTTGGCAAACGTTTCGTCGTTTCCTTCTTCCTCAGAACCTGGAGGGGAAGATGCTATAATGTAACCTTATTCGATGAAACAGTTCTATAGCTTCCATAACAACTCGAAACTCACCCAAGCGTAGCTCTTGGTTCTGAAAAAGAGTCGAAAACGCTACTTTTACTTTGCCCATTTTTCCTAGAGAGCGCGACTATAGTCGTTTTCTCGTTCAGCAATCGCGAGGTTGTTAAACAATACACTTTTATTTCCATAGAAAAACACAATACAATACAACAGTAGCCAACGTTTCGGCAGTATCGCCTTCTCCAGAGCCTGGAAGGGTATACTAATATACAATTTACCAGAACAAACCCTTCAATAACACTTACAATAAGACGAAACACTATGGTAATTACAGGATCAACAGCTCAAACAACTCACCGCTTTTTACTTGACTTCCAATAAGAAACACTAGAACAGCTGATTATAGTCGCATATGGTTGATGACTGCACCATCCCACATCAGAAATTGGTGCGAACACACGGAGTCAGGTCGCGTATGACCTCTGGGCATTCATCCCTGCTATTCATTGTAGGGTTTTTGGCACTTATCCAAAAAGCCTCGAGAAGTTTTCGCGCCGGTGTTTTAGTCTCCTGTGCAAATAAACTGACTTTTACTTCAAAATCGTCTCCTCTATGCTTTTGTATCCTATGCGTGCCTAGTGGGTTACTTTGTCTTAGTTTCGGTTTACCATCTAGGCATTATTTTATACGAATACACAAAAGTCTGCCTATTTCGCCAATATATTCATCTCCGCAATTATTACAAGAGATCAGGTAGATCGTGTGTGAACTCATGCAACCACCGTGCCTGCCGCAAGGGCAAATTACGCAATTTGTTGTTTCACATAGACGGTCATACAGGCGGTTACGAACTAATGGACGGCGTAGAGTAGCCGGCGGTATTTCAACTATCGCTACCGATTCCTCTAGACCTGCCCTTCTCAACCATCGTTTAATAGCTACCTTACTTCATCGCTAATAAAAGGCAATATAAACGGGACTTTCTTTTGGCCATGTGTTTCACTAGGGCGCGCCGCTCTCCTAAACTTATCTCGTGGGGTCACTATTTCGTAGCCATTGGAGATGGCTATTGGCCGAGCCAAGTCGTGCGACTCTTCCTTTAGTTCCCTGGTTGTGGACCCAGAGTTGGCTGTTCGAAACATGTTTCTCACAAGCGCCTTCTTTGTGTGTGAAGGGTGGGAAGAAAGGAAATGAATGAGGATGCTGTTGTTAAGCCTCTTGAGGCTTTTTGGATATATGCCAAAACTCTTCAATGGGAGGAATGCCCAGAGGTCATACGCGACCTGACCCCGTATGTTCGTTCGCATCAATTTCTGATGTGGGATGGTGCAGTCATCAACCATATGCGACTATAATTAGCTGTTCTAAACTTCCTCATTGGAAGTCACGCAAAAAGCGATGACTTTTTCCAGAAGCTGTTGATCATGTAATTGCCACAGTTTTTCATCTTTTTGTAAGTGTTATTGAAGCGTTTGGCATAGTAGACTGCATATCCATAAACCCTTCCAGGCTCTGAAGAAGGCGATACTACCGAAACGTCAGCTAGTGTTGTATTGTATTGTGTTTTTATGGAAGTAAATGTATGCTTTATTTCTTGATAAGCTTGCACGAGGTTGATAAATATATAATATAAAAAAAATATATAAATAAAAATAATATATTTATCAACCTCGTGCAAGCTTATCAAGAAATAATACATATTGATTTGTCACACCGAGGTTTAGGGAAGGTCGGTTTCGAAATAAATGTATGCTGTTTAAAAACCTCGCGATTGCTGAACAAGAAAACGACACATTCACATTCCAATGCCGAGGTTAATAGAAAGTCGATCCTGGGAACTATTACAAGATGTACCAGCAAAATATTTTCGACTTGTGAAGGAGTATTGTCACTAAGACAGAAGATTCTCTTAGCTAGACAGCAAATCAACTTTCTCCGTCGCTGTTTTCAACATCGAGTCGTGCCGAAGTTTATAAAAGGAAAGCAACCTCACGGGATATGCGGTCAACCAGAGGACAGCCAACAAGTACGAGGCATCGAAATGGAACTACTTCGAACTGCACTACGAAGCAAGCAGAACGAGATGTCTGCCAGAATGAAGAAGTGTGCAACGAAGGAACATTTTTGTGCTTTGTATTTGGAGGAGGATAGTTGGTGGGTCAATATTGATATGCGATTTTATTAGGTCTAATGCCAAAATAACCTTACAACGAAAATTCGAAAATCTTTTCGGTAATTCACAAGTCTCAGCTTCAAGAAACAACAGCAAACAAATTCTTTACGCTTCTGATAATAGTAAAAATGGGGTTGACAATGCACCAAGAAAATATAGGGTAACCGTGATTGGGGGCATAACAATACCTGAGAAAGCGCGTTCGCTATTAGAATTGGGCCCAAGTTTTGCACCATCACACCCCATTTCTAAAACGATCCTGCGTAGGATAGCATGCAACCTTATGAACTTCAAGATCGATTCCGCTATCAGGCCAAGCAAGAAACATCAAATAGAGATAAAAATCAAGAGGCGGCGACACTGCCACTATCTCCTTTCCCTAAAACGTTTTTTAGACAGCAGGATCCTAACGATAGAGTTCACATAAAATTCCGTGTTTTCGGACGGCGTTCTCAAGACCCTTAATCACTACCGCGATAGAAAGTTTATCTCTAACCTTACTGCGGCACAAAAATGTGGCATGCGGGAAATTAGAGAATTAATAAACTCGAAAACAATAAGATTGTCTGTTAGTGATAAAGGGGGGAGAGTTCGAAATTATCCCTCGCCAACTGGATGTTGAGATAACAGAGGAACATCTTAGTGATGCTACTCTCTATCGCCCATCCTCTGAAAAGGAATATAAAAGTCAACACCGAAAGCTAAACAATCAATAGGTCAGTGTGGCAAAGGCTGCGGGTTTAAAATCATCGGTTATTTCGCACATTAAAATCGATAGACCAACATGTCCCGCCCTATACCCACTTATTAAAACACATAAGTTGGTATCACCTGATGATCATGCGTCAACCAATCCGTCATCATTTAAGGTTAGACCGATCATCAGCTGTGTAGACGGGTCAACGGATAGAATGACCTGGTTTTTAAGCCTGATACTTACCCAGTTGCTAAACCACATTCCTCTTACCTCACAAACACCCAAAATGTTCCTACAACGTCTACGTAACGCGTCTCCTAATAACGCGTACGTTTGTTTCAACGTTACCGCACTGTACACCAACGTATCGAATGACTCCGCAATGCAAGCCACCTTCGAACTTCTTGTTGAACATGGAGGAAGAATAAATATGCATGGCTTGTCCATCCAGCAGCTAATGGCTCTCTTAAAGGAGTGCCTAAACTGCTCGATTTTCAGATGGTCTGGGAAATATTTCGCGCAAATAAGGGAGTTGGCAATGGGACAGCGATTGGCACCAAGCCTTGCCATTGTGTTTATGTCTAAGATAGAAGCCCCTGTTCTTGATCTCCGACCACTACTCTACTGAAGATATGTAGATGATTGTTTTGTCGTCTTCTCTACGCAAGAGGAGATGGACAAATGCTTCGAATTATTAAACGAGCAGTCCGAGTACATAAAATTCACCATGGAGAAACCGAGAGAAAACTGGCTTCCGTTTTTGGACGCTCAAATAAACCTATCAAGTAGAGGTTACCCGACAAAGTTGTACCGAAAGCCAAGTAACAAGAACATCCTCGTTCATTTTCTTTCTTCCCACCCTTCACACACAAAGAAGGCGCTTGTGAGAAACATGTTTCGAACAGCCACCTCTGTGTGCACTACCAAGGAACTAAAGGAAGAGTCGCACGACTTGGCTCGGCAAATAGCCATCTCCAATGGCTACGAAATAGTAACCCCACGAGATAAGTTTACAAGGAGAGCGACGCGCCCACGCGAAACACTTGGCCAAAACAAAGTCCCGTTTATGTTGCCTTTTATAAGCGATGAAGTAAGCGTAGCTATAAAACGATGCTTAAGAAAGGCAGGTCTAGAGGAATCGGTGGCGATAGTTGAAATACCACCGGCTACTCTACGTCGCCCATTAGTTCGTAACCGCCTGTATGACCGTCTTTGTGAAACAACAAATTGCGTAATTTGCCCTTACGGCAGGGACGGTGGTTGCATGAGTTCACACACGATCTACCTGATCTCTTGTAATAATTGCGGAGATGAATATATTGGCGATACGGGCAGACTTTTGTGTATTCGTATAAAATAATGCCTAGATGGTAAACCGAAACTAAGGCAAAGTAACCCACTAGGCGCGCATAGGATACAAAAGCATAGAGGAGACGATTTTAAAGTAAAAGTCAGTATCCTTGCACAGGAGACTAAAACACTGGCGCGAAAACTTCTCGAGGCTTTTTGGATAAGTGCCAAAAGACCTACAATGAATAGCAGGGATGAATGCTCAGAGGTCATACGCGACCTAACCCCGTGTGTTCGCACCAATTTCTGGTGTGGGATGGTGCAGTCATCAACCATATGCGACTATAATCAGCTGTTCTAGTGTTTCTTATTGGAAGTCAAGTAAAAAGCGGTTTTTCGAGAAGCTGTTGATCATGTAATTACCATAGAGTTTTTCGTCTTTTTGTAAGTGATATTGAAGCGTTTGGCCTAGTAGATTGTATATCAGCATGCCCTTCCTGTGACTATGGTCTTCAATGAAACTCACCCCGATCAACGAACTAATCTGAAATATTATCCCAAGGAACGTGTGATAATAAAAGAGTAATCTTATCTACTCATTTTTGGGTCGTCTTGCTCTACCCGAAACGTCCCAAGACTCTTCTTATAGTTTTCTCCTTTTTGACATTAAAACA